TTGCTCCTAGCCACCCTCGAACAGAGCGGCCAGCTCCTGCCCCAGGTCCTGGTACACGGGGAGCCCGGGCACCTGTTGAACGTCCCCGAGCCTCAGTGTTCCTGTCTGTAAAACAGGCACCGACAGGTTCACCTGCAGGAGGATCCTGAGCTCAGAGTAGGGTCCAGTGTGCGGCCAGTCTGCAGAGGACCCGGACCATCCTCGTCACGGGGGTTGACACTCTTTAGAGTCAGAATGACGAGGAGAAGCCCAGCCCCCGAGTCCACACGTGGCCACAGCCACGGCCACCGCGGGTGCTCTGCCCTCCCCGGTCGCTGACCACCGTGCGCCTGCGATTCTGCGTCTCCGTTCTCTCTGCGAGCGTCTGTCCCACCGGCCATTGTCCTGTGGACTCACTTAATCTCTCTAAATATCGCTTCAGCAGCCACGAGGCCGTGAGCAGCATTAATTGAGCCATTTCCCTGCCGCAGAGCGGGGCTGAGAGGCTCGGTGGAGGGTTTGTTTGACTTTTGTTTTGCGATGACAAGTACCGGTGGCGGGGCTCGGGGACAGCAGCCTGGGGGGCAGGAGCCAGCGAGGACGGCTTCGCCTGGTGTGTGCCTCTTGAATCGTTCCCTGCCATCAAGTTCCAGCGAGGATGTGGGGGGAGGGTGGCCCTTTCATGGCCCTGCCCACCAGTGCCCGCCACGTGGAGGTGGCGTGGTGGCAGCTGGTCCCTGCGCCCTCTGGGCCCACTCCCTGGGACGCTGGTGGGTGAGCACCTTCCGTTCCGTGGTTAATTAATTCCGCTCCCTCTCCTGGAGCGTCCCATTTATTTTACGGCGCCCCCAGGACAGTCGCTAATCGCAGTCATTTCCATAAAGCAGCGTTTATTTCCCAAATCCTCGTCCTCGCGCCTGGAGACGCGCCTCCCCGGGACTGTTTACTTAATCCATTTTTAATTGACTCTAAATCAAGTCGCCTGTTTAGGAAACGCAGACCTGCCCTAGCCGTGTCCCGAGGGCTCGGGGTCCTTCCTACGTACCCGACCGCTCGCCGTCCCTGGCAAGAGCTGACCCTCAGATCGTGGGGGTTTGGGGAGCCGTCGTCAAACGTGGCCGCGATTAAAAGTGAAATTACATAAGCGTGTGATTAATTCAGCTCTAATAGACACCAGGGTGGCAACACTGGGGACATCACTTCCTAATTATTCTGCTGGGTTCCCGGTCTCGGTGCTCTTGGGGACGTGGGCCTCTGTCACGTCTGCAGGGCTGCGTGTCCCTCCCTTCCTGAGCGGCAGCACCGTGGCCGTATTTACCCACGGACACTGGCAGCAGGGGCCTGGGTGGCGGGCCGCTTTGCACCCTGGTTTCCTGGGGTGCGTCGACCCTGAGAACAGGCAGCGGAGCCTTGGCCAGCCGGCATGTTGCCACCCGTACCACCTCGCCTGCCCAGCGGTCTGTGGGCCTCACTGTGGGGACCCAATGTCCCGGGTGCACTTGAAAGAGAACCGCGGCCTGTTCCTGGGGACACCCACCGACAAGTTGCGGGACACCTGTTCTAGGTCCATCCCTGACTCCTTCCAGCCCCTGGGCCTTCCTGGACAGAGCAGGGGACAGGAGGCCTCCGTCCCCTCCCTCCCAGGAGCTATCGAGGGCATCTCTTTGCCAGCTCTCTTGCACGGTCCCTTCCGCGTCTCCCACACGGTGCTGGGGGGGCGGGTGTCACCCAACACCGTCATGGAGGTCACCAGAGAGCCACAGGTGCTGGGAACAGAAAGAAGGACGCAGAGCGCCTGCCCCGGGACCCGCCCAGGGGTGCGTGGAGAAGCCGCTCTGCCCCTCGGACTCTGCCTGGAAGGATCCGTGCATGTGGCCAGGGCGGACAGACGGAGGGAGGCTCGGGGACCATGCAGGACGCGCGTCCAGGGTGCACCCGAAGGGGCCCTGCGATTGCCCCGTCTGTCCCTGGTTTCCCCAGAGCTCCCAGGTCTCTGAGGCCAGCACAGCTCCGTGGGGGGGACCGCAGCTTTGGGCAGTTCAGGCACAAGGACCCTCAAAGACACCTTCCAGGGTCTCACAGGGACAGGAGCCTTCTGTGGACTCAGCCCCTTCAATGGCCCCAATTCCCTGCTGCCCAAGGCCATCTCTGAGCCTTCATGTCCCTTTTTATGACCTTGGGGAAGCCTGCTTGCCTGTCTTGGGGGACCTCAGGAGAGTGGGGACAGGCCCCTAGGAGCTCGGCTCCCAGGGGGTCAGTGCCCGACAAGCCCCGTCCCTGGAGGTCCTGCCCCTCGGCAGGCAGGGGACCCCGCCGCCCACCCTCCGGCCGGCACCTTAATTAAAACGCCCAGGGACTGCGGTGAGCGGGGTGCCCGCAGGTGGGTGGTCAGCAGACCCTGAATGTCCCGGTGAAGCTGCGGATCTCTAGCCCCCGGGAGCAGAGAGGGCGTCCCCTGTGTCAGTTTGACAGGAAGTCCATGTCACCGCTCGGGGCTGCAGGGAGCGTAAGGTAGAGAACGAGGAATCACCTTAGAGAGAGAGGAGCGCGGCCCGGGGAGGGGCGGCTCTGACCGTCCCCAAAACCAACTTGGCCCAGGGGCTGTTAATAGGCCCCCGTCCAGATCCGCCGCGGGAGAGGGACACGGGAGCGTCTCCATCAGCGCGGCTCAGGAAGGGCGGCTCCTCCTCCGTTGAGACTGTGGCCCTGGCTGCTAAGATATTTGCTTCCAAGAATGGAGGCTGTGGCACAGCAGACGTCTCCCAGCCTGGGCCCTCGCTAGGGGCAGGGCAAGGAAGCCAGCCCCGCCACCAGAGGGCGCCGCCCCTCACCCTTGTCTTCCGGTCCTTTCCAAGGCTCCCTGGAGGGTGCTGGGGGACTTGACTCCAGGCTGCTTCCAGACCAGGGCTTGGGGGGCACTGGGTGCTGCGGCCGGGGGTGAGAGGACAAAGCTCGTGGTCTCCTGGGACGGCACGCCAGGTTGTGCAGAGCCCAGCTGTGTGACCTTGGGCGGGCTCTTGACCACTCTGAGCTGCAGAGACCAAACACTCTCCACCTGCAGGGGCTCCTGAGGGGGCTCCGAGGATACGGGGAGGACTTGGTGCAGTACCTCTCTAGGCAGGACCCGAGACCACCCCACTCCCCGTCTCCCTCCACCCCTTGGGGAATGGGGCACCTGCCGGGCACAGCCCCCCCCCTCTGTTGGAGGGTGCTGAGGGCCTGGGTCCAACCGAGAGGGGGACCCAGAGTGCTGTTGCTTGGTGACTCCGGGACCTTCGTATCCCCGGCGAGGCTGGCCTCAGATGTCCAGGATTCAGGACAGAAGCAGCCACTGCTGGGCGCTGGTGGCCACCTGGGCAGAGCCAGGAGGGGCAGCCGCAGGGGTCCCGGGGTCTCCATCTGCCTCCAGCGCTCCTTCCCAACGGCCACCCCAGGCCAGGGACCCCGGAGACGCTTCCCCGGGGCCTCAGGGGCAGGGGCGTCCCGCGGCCTCAGCCCCTTGGGCAGCCTGGCTTCCAGGTCCCCTGCGGACTGGGCCGTCCTGCTGCCCAGTGATGCCGCCTCTGAGCCTCCAGCCCCGTTCTGGACCCCCACTGTCCAGCTGCTCCCACAAACGTGGCCCCCGAGTTCCTATAGCCAGGGCCCTCTCCTCGGGCACCGGAGCAGAGGGACCTCAGGGGGGCCGCTCATCCTAGGGGCCCACCCGTGTGCGCGGAGTGGAGAGCTGTACAGGGCTCACGTCTTCCCAAGCCATGGGTCAGTCATGGTGCCTCTCAGCCATGGCACAGGGAGGGGGACATGGGACTCCACTAAGTGCTGCTGTCCAGGCTGGTTCAAGGAAAATATGGAGCAGCGGGGCGTCTGGGGAGAGCCCCGAGCCCATGAGCAGAGCCGACCATGGTGGGTGGAGGCAGGGAGGCTGAGGGAGGCCACCGAGGTGAGAGGCCTGGTGACGAGGCCCTGTTCTGGAGGTGGACAGAGACGGTGGAGGGCCGGACCTGGGCGCAGGGGAGAGAGCATGCCAAGGACTCCCGGTGTGACTGCAGTGACCAGTGTCACCACTGGCCAGGAAGGACCGTGCTGGGACTCGGCACAGAGGGGAGGCGCAGGGGCAGCGGTGCATCCCGAGTGGCCAGGAGCGGTCACAGCCAGCAGGGCTGAGAGGTGCCAGAGGTCAGGTGTGTCCCCAGGAGGGCGGGGACACTGCCCCTTCCCGGGAGGTGGCCTCTCCCTGGCCGTGTTCCAGGGGAGATGAGCAAGTGAGCCGGTGCGTGTGCGCGGGCGGTGGGCGTGGGCGGCCTGGGGTCTGGGTGCCACGGGCTCACTCACGGGCTTGGGTTTGACCTGGTCGCGCCCTGCCCTGCTCGGGCGCCAAGCAGCAGGGAGAGCGGGGGAGGGGGGAGGTGGCCGCCCAGCCCCAGCCCCAGGAGCACAGACTGGAGGTGCCAGGCCGCGCGGCCAGAGCTGGGAGGGCAGGACGAGGCGCGGCCCAGAGCGGCAGGACCTTCAGGCCCAGATGGGCTCTGGGCCAGGGCAGGGACACACGCGGGTCAGGTCCCATGGCACCCCACCAGTTCACCCCGCCAGCCCCTCAGAACCGTGCCAGGGGCACCTCCTCCCCGGGCCTCCCTGCCGCCCACTCTGCCCAGCAGAGCCGTGGGTCTGTCTCGCTGGCCCGGGGGGAACAGGGGCTGCGTCCTGCACAGTCCTGGATGGGCATCCGGGCCCCTCCCTCGGCTCCCTGCCCTGGGCTCGCTGGTCACCTGGGGCCCGTCCCCCAGCCTCGTTCCCTGGGTGAGATGGCGGAGGCCGATGGCTCTCTGACCCTGCGTCTGCTAATGGAGCCCTGACTGGGGACAAGAATGGATGCAGAATGCTCTGAGAATTTCAGGGCAGGAAGCGCAGTCTCTTCCCGGGGAGCGGGGGGGGGGGGGGGGGGACAGAGGCTGCCGCCGGAGGAGGCCTCCCGAGCCGTCCGTCCGTGGCATTTAATGCGGAGTGCGGGCCTCCGTCAGAGCAAGGGCATCAAATATTTACAGACAGCATTAAAAATTAACCTCAGGATGTGGCTGTTCCCAGAAGTCAGGGGTGAGGAGACGGAGGAGGCTGCCTCCGGGCACCAGCAACGGCCGCTCCCAGGCCAGCCCAGCTCCCGTGGCCCAGTCCCAGAGCCGCGGCAGCCTCCGCCCTGCGTCTGCCCAGGCCCCTGGCTGTAAGCCCTTTGGGGCTCCCAGTGGCCTGAAGGCAAGGACAGGCCCTCGGCTCAGCATCCCCAGCCCTGGCCCTTCCTCTCTGGGACTCAGATTTGCAGGATGGAAAGGAATGAATCTCGCAGATGGGAGGAGGCCAAGGTGGAAGTGGAGACATTCCAGGAACCAAGGGCAGCAGGTGCAAAGGCCCCGAGGCAGAGAGCAGGGCCCTGTGCCTCAGAAGGGAAGTCGAGGTAGCACAAGGGAGGGAGGGAAGGGAGCTGGAGGCCACCAAATAGGCTCCAGGTCTGCAGCCTGGGAGGAAGGGGCAGCAGAGGGGCAGGAAGTAGGAAGGGGCACCCATGGGCCTGGCCGGTGGGTTGGTGGGAATGGGCAAGAAGTGGGGCACCCAAGGACTGAGCCAGAGGGCACGAGGGGCGGGCTTGGCACTGGGGATCAGCAGAGCACAGGATCCTGGGTTGCAGCCCCCAGGACTGTAGGAGAGAGAGCAGAACAGGAGGGGCCGGGAGGAGCCCCCCCCAGTGGGAGGCAAAGCAGGAGGGTGTCAGGTCCAGAAGGCCCAAGACGGGTGCTCCGGGAGGGGCAGGGGCAGCTGAGGGGCTGCTGACCACCCTGCTTCTGCCCACTGTCCCCATGTCCCCACAGCACGGAGCCCGCGCCCCTCCCCCTCCGCCTGATTCTGCACTTTCCGGGACAGAGGGAAAGACGGGGAGTACTGTCGCCCCATAGGACAGCATGCCACAGCCACAGCCGCGGAGACGGAGACGCACTCTGCGGGAGGCCCAGCAGGGGTGGCTGGGGGACCAGGGCCGCTGGGGACACTGCACAGGATCTCAGGACAACTGTTCTTCGTGCCCTTTTTTTTCTTTTGGTACCAGGGACTGAGCTCAGGGGCACTCGGCCACTGAGCCACACCCCCAGCCCTGTTTTGTATTTTATTTAGAGACAGGGTCTCCCTGAGCTGCTTAGCGCCTCACTTTTGCCGAGGCTGGCCTTGAACTCACCATCCTCCTGCCTCAGCCTCCCAGCTGCGGGATCGCAGGCTGCGCCTGGTCCTTCTTGCCTTTCTATGGACGAGGAAACTGAGGTTCCGGAAGGTCACATGACACACCCAAGTCGAGCAGCCAGTGCGCTTTCAGGTCCCAAGAGGCCTGTCCACTCAGCACAGTGCCCCACCTTCCCTCACTCTGCCCCTCGCGCTCTAGCCAGCTGCGTGACCCATCAGCCTGTTGGGCTACAGGCAAAATAAAATTCCCTGGACAGGGCTCTATACCCCCTTTTGAAATCCCTTCCCCTTTCCCCCGGGGGGTATCAGGGATTGAACCCAGAGGCTCTTGACCACTGACCCACATCTCCAGACCCACCCACCTACCCCCTTTGCGTTTTATTCAGGGACAGGGGCTCATTGAGCTACTTAGGGCCTCGCTAAGTTGCTGAGGCTGGCTTTGAACTCGCGATCCTCCCGCCTCAGCCTCCCAAGCAGCTGGGACTACAGGCGTGGCCACCAACCAAGTTGCTATTCCATGCACTGCCCTTTGTAACCTCCCCACCGCGCCCCCAGCAGGACAGTCCACTGAGGCTGCAGGAGAAAGGAGACTCCTAGTTAGGTAAGCGCAGAGGCTGAACGAGTGTCAGCGGTGTGCCAAGTTCACAGGGAGCGAAGAGGCCGGGCCACAGTCAGCCTCCACCTGCTCCGGGGACAACAGGTATCAGAGCCCCGGTGGGCTCAAACCCAGGCCCAGACATGCCTTGCTGGTCCTGATTGGCTCCCAGGGACCACGCCCCCATCTCTGGGCCATTCACTGTGCCAGGGGGTGGGGCACAGTAAAGGGCTCCTCCAATCAGGGTTCACCCCTGAGGTGGGTGGAGCCGGGTGGGAGGGTCTCCGGAGCCTGGGCCCGCTGGGGAGCCGGCAGCGCCCGGTGGACTTCCCTACGGGGAAAGGGGCCGTCGCACCTGCTCCCGGCCTGCGGTGCCACTCGGATGAGAGGTGCCGGCGCCCACGACCGTAAACGGGCAGAACTGCGCCGCGGCCACTGGGGTTGCTTTGTGCCCAGGGAGGAGTGCGCACCTGCAGAGCTGCTGTCGCCTGCTTCAGAAGGTGCAGAGCAGGGACACCAGGCTGCCTCCCCGAGGCCGTCGCACCCCTATCAGCTGGGCGGCTGGAGGTGTTCCGAGATGGCATCCTTAGGCAGTGTCACCGTGGGCATCGCAGAGGGCACTTGGGCTGTGAAAGGCATTGTTGACCATAGCGGCTTCGAGGGTCATGGCCCAGGGAATGTCGCACTGGCTCAGCTTGATGAACTTCAGCTACCAAACTTCCCAACACCCAGGCGTCCTGGCACCGCGACACTCCAGACCCCCAGCCCCTGAGTTACTTTGGCCCATTCTTGAGCTTAGCCGAGTGGATTGGGACAGTATGGCTGCAGGGCCTGGCCTGTCACCATGAGGTCGGTCACTGGTGACCAAAAGGAGGCAGATTGAAAGCTGCTGAACGAAGCTCTATTGAGACTGGCTCCGGGCGAGACCCTGCACCCAGGCTCAGCTGGACTTGGACTTTTATCGGGCTTAGGGCAGGAAGGGAGGTTGTAGGGTCCCTTGTCCTCCTGAGGTTGGTCGGGGATCTTGCTGAGCTCCATGTCCTTCCAAGGTTGGTGAGGAGACCCCGCTGATTGACAGGTGGTCATCACTGCTTGTCTGTGGGCGTCTGATTGGTTGTTCTTTTGCGCATGCGGGTTGCCTGGTGCTTTGTTCCCTCAGCCACGGCAAACCGACCTGACAGTCACACCATGCTTTGTCCTTGTTGACTGCAGTGTGGCCTTCCCTTGTGTGGACGCTCCACAGAGTGTGCATCCTGTCCCCTGATGACTTGTGGGTCCTTTGCTCTGGGACCACATGAACAGCTGCTCAGGTTGCCAGCAGACCCCGGGTGCATGGCTCTTGGGACAGCACAGGTGTGTCATAACAAGGTGCCACAAACCCAGTGGCCTAAAGCAACACATGGTTAGCTTCCTGCCCTGGGCCAGGGCTTCCTCTGGAGACCCCGGGATGGATCCCTCGGCCCTGCCTTTCCCAGCTCCGGGAGGTGCCAGCCACGCCCCCCTCGGCAGCCGCCCTCTGCCCGGCTGCTGCCACGGCCACCTCTCCTTGACTCTGACCCTGCCTCCCTCCTGTGGCCCAGCCACATGACCCCAGCAACCCCCATCTCGAGACCCTGAGTGTCACCCCAGCCACAAAGCCCATTTTGATCTGTAAAGGGACAGGCACAGCTTCTGGGGATTGGGGACAGGGAGAACAGTGGGTGTTGTGATGGCACCTATGCATGTCCCGAGGGTGACAGGGCAGGCGCGGATTCTGCCTTAGGACTTCCTGCCAATCACTTTTACAAAGAGGCCCAGGCTGAGCCATTTGGGTCCCACTCGAGTCACGGGAGAGCTCCTGCCGCGTCCCCTCGGGCGCTCACTGTGGGCAGCGTAGTCTTGGCCTCTCCCGTGGGCGCACAGGGGTGGCTCTGGGGGCCTCAGGCTCCTCTCTGCCCTTGGGCCACCTCACAGGCAGCACCACCTCCGAAGCCTCCAAGGACAGTCCCCAGGTCGCACCCTTGGGATTGCCGGGCCTCCCGCCAGTTCTCAGCGTCCCCGCGCCCGCTGCCTGCTCCCTTTGCAGAACACAGCTGTCCCCACCTGGCACATGTGGGGGAGCGCCTGGCCCCCAGGGCTACTGTCAGGGCTGAGTGTGGGAGCTGCTGTCATCTTGTGTCGGGAGGGACGGTTGTCTGCAGCTCACCTGGCAATCACTCATGCTGGGCGGCACTCCCCTGCCTCAGCGCCCATTGTTGCAGGCTCCCCAGGCGCGGAACTTTCATTATGATTCAAATTGCCAGGTGCTCAGCTTCTCCTCCCAGGGATGCTGCAGACGCCAGCCCCCGGCCTGCCAGCTGCGCGGCTCCTCTTCCCGATGCCAGGCTCCGCCTCGCAGGACTGCCTGCCCGCTGCCCGCTAGGCCTGCTGGTCCCCAGCCAGGTGGCCGTATGGCCTGGTGCTCAGCGGCACAGACCGGATCCTGGCTCTACCACTCACTCCAGGTGTGACCCTGGACAAGCTACGCAGCCTCTCTGAGCCCCAGGGTCCCCAAGCTGTGCGGATCATGGTCCCCAGCTCTCAGGGTGGCTGCCGTGGGGACAAGGCTCAGAACAGTGCCCGGCTCAGAAGAAAGGCCCAGCACAGTGGCCGAACTCCCAGCCTCTGATAGAACCAGCGACGGTCTTCCCTCGGCTCCCAGGGCCCCAGGTCCAGCAGGTGCCCGTGCCCGGCAGTTGAGGGCCTAGCCCCTCTCCAGATGCCCCCTGCCGGGAATGTCTCGGGCCACCCACAGCCACCACTGTGACCCTCCACGTGGCCTGACCAGGACGCTCCCTCCTCCTGGTGTACTCCTGGCTAACTGCTCGGGGTCAGCACCCTGGAGACTGCCCCGACCTCCTCCCAGGCCAGGACCTGTGGGACCCTCGGGAGCCCAGACCCTGGAACATGCCACTCCTGCTTTGGGGTCCTGGTGTGGCTCCAGCTCAGCTCTCAAGGGCAGGGCGTGACTCGGTTCCAGGACCCCAGCACCCAGCCCTGGCCTGGACGGAGAGGACATCACAGCAGCCAGTTCTGCAAGCCCAGGGGACCTGTCGGTGGCCAGCACCTGGTCTCCACGGGGCTGATTGACAGTGAGGGGCGTGTGACCAGCAAGGTGTCCGAGAGGACAGGCGGCCCCACAGCAGGGCCAGGGGCTCTCGGTTACAGAAGCCGACAGTCGCTCAGGGACTTTCCCTGCTCCCATGGGTACTGCACGGCTGGGGCAGGTCGCCATGGAAACAGAACAAAAAACTGGCCTCGGCCAAGGATTCCCTCCGGAAGGCGGTGTGCTGACCGCGTCCCCAGAGCGGATGGGCTAACGGCCAGGCCACATCCAGGTGGGCCAGCCGCAGCTGTTCCCAGCAGAGGGCCGTCCACAGTGGCACGAGTCCCGCGGCCCGCAGGAAGGGGGTCCTGCCGGCCTAAAGTCCTATCAGGCGGGTGCCCAAGGCCCTGAGAGCCAGGCACTTGCCCAGGGTCACCAGCCCGTGAAACGCAGGACTGGGATCTGAGCAGACCCCGACTTTGAGGCCAGTGTCACCACCACTCAGTGTGCCCAGGCCGGTGGGAGTCGGCTGTGCCCAGGGGGCGCTTGGCGAGTGGGTCCTGAGGATGTGGGGGAGGTAAAGTAGGGTCGTGTGCCCCGGGCAGCGTGGCGAGAACTGGGCGTCCTGCAGAGCGGAGGTCATGATGGAGGTACCTGGGAAGAGGTCCTGAGGTCCCCGCCGAGGGCTAAAACTGCGCCTCGAGGGAAACCTGAGTAGAGCGAGATCTTTCTAATGTTGCTGATTTTGAAATATTTCATTTGGTTCAAAATAAGATGCATAAAAATGTGGATAAAAAGCATAAACGATAAGAAAGCAGCCCAGGTCCCCGCGCAGCACGAGAGCCAGGCCAAAGCCACCAAGGCCCCCCACCCTCTCCACCTGGCGCTCCGAGGTCCAGAGCGCGTGTGCCTCTCGGGCATGACTGACTGCAGCAGCTGGTGCCCTCCAGGGAGGTCCCCGAGGAAGGCTGGGGGCTGAGGCCCAGCGGCAGGGCGGCCAGGAGGAGGCTCAGAGGAGTGGGGGACGCGGCCTCCCCCAGGAGGAGCCGATTCTCCACCGCAGCCGCGAGCTGAGCAGGAGGGAGACGCTCATGCCGGGCGGGCGAGGAGGCCAGGCTGAGGCCCCGTCCCCAGCCCCCAGGGGAGACCAGGCTGAGGCCCGACAGACCTGGCTCCCTGACAAGCCTCCTCTCTCTTCCACCGCCCCTCAGTCCCTGGGGCTCCCGGTCCCTGCCCCTCCCAGGCCAGCGTCACTCTCCAGGGCTGTGGGCACCACCACCCAGGCCTGGGCAGAGAACCCGTCCAGGGCACTTGGTCCCCTTCCCTTTCCCGCCCCTGTGCCTGTGAGGCAGAGGTGGGGGTTCTCATGTCGGGGGCCTAAGCTAGAATCCTGACGTGGAGGCCCACACCAGAGGTCGGCAGAACCCTGAGTCATCTCCTGTTTTGTCACCTATGCTTCTGTTCATGTGACCCCATCCCTCCCTGACACACCCGATGCCATGCGCAGGTCCCTGGAGCAGGACGCCCTGCTGTCCCCAGGCTTCCCTGAGCCTCTCTGGCTGATCCCCCCAAGGTCACCTGATTCCACGTTTCCACCTGAGAACCAGGCGGGGGTGAGGGGGGGGGACGGGCCCTGACCTCCTCCTGGCGTCCCCCCACCCCCCGCGGGACGTCATGCTGTTTTCCAGACCTGCGGCCCAGTCCCCAGGCTTGGTGGCTTTTCACACCGCAGATCTAGAAGGCCGGGCTGGTCCCACCCTCCTGGTCCCCGGCTCCCGCGTCAGTGGCCACAATGGGACATCGCAGTGTCCTGGGCCACCACACCCGTCACCCCACTCTCCACGCCCACTCCTGCCCCCTCCCTGGTGGGGTCTCCCGGGGTCTCTGCCGCTCTCTGCTGTCACATGGCCGCAGTGTCCTCGAGGGCCTGGTTCTAGGGCCCCGCGGACGTGGGCATCCCTGGAAGCCCAAGTCCTTGTTGACAGGGACCTACGCATGGCCCCGGGTCCTCCTGACCCCCAGCAGAGTCAAGGCTGAATCGTGGCCACGCTGCGCGGCCCCGGGTTCGGGGGCCCTGGGCACAGCCATGTCCAGCACATCTCCTTTCAAACGCTGGCTGGGCCACCTGCTGCCTCACGCTGCCTGTCACCCCGCGTCACGTCTGGGTGGCGTGTCCCCTTCGTCACTTGCGTGCCCACCTTTCGAATCAAGTCCTCACTGGGGCTGATGTGATGGCTGTCGGGGGACAGTGCACCATCTTAGGAACTTTGTTGTCACTTAGTGACCGACTGCTTTGGGCACAGCTTTAGGTTTTCAGGAAAATGGAGCCGAAAGCGCAGGGTTTCCTGCCCCCTCCCCTCCCCCCCACCGCGGTTTCCACATCACCAGCGTCTTGCGTTTCTGTGGCTCGTCTGTGACAAGGTGACAGGGCACGCGTTACACCACGGCTGGGACCTGAGGGGCTCCTTCCCCCACTGCTTCTGCCGGCAGCATTCAGATCACACAGGACAGGCCAAGTCCAGGCCTGGGGTAGACAGGCTGCCTGCGCTCACCCGTGTGCTGTGTGAGCTAGGGCATCGTGCTGAGCCTCTCTGGGCCTCAGTTTCCTTCTCTGTGCAACAGGACTTACTCATGAGGCTCTGGTGAGGATTAAATGAGTGATCTCTATGGAGAGCTCAGAGCAGCGTCCAGCACAAAGTGGGTGCTCAGTAAGTACTTTTGAAAGTGTGAATCTCCAGTTTACATTACATGGGTGGGGGATGCAGGAGGGACATGCTTCTCCGGCACCCCCTGCCCCCACTGCGAGTTCTCAAGGCTTGGATGACACAGAAAACTCAGCCCAGAAGCCCTGCCCTGAGGATCCAACTGCACCAAGACCTGAGCGCTGAGAAAGTGAGCCCTGCATAGAGGCCCGGGGGCCTTCTAGACAGCAGGCCAGCAGGTGCAAAGGTCCTGTGGCAAGAGCACCAGAGATGCTGGGGACCCCCAAGGTGGCCCGTGTGGCTGCAGAGGTGTGACGAGGGGCATAACAGGAGACAGGTCGGAACGCAGCCAGGCAGCCTGGAGAGCACCAAGGCCGTTAGAGGATTCTGAGCAAAAGAGACAATAAATATTTGTTCTGAGCGTTAGGTGGCCCGGGATCAAGCTGTCTTACTGTGCTTCCTCCTGCGTTTCTGTGCCGAGGATCAACTGGGGGGAGGTGAGAGCAGCGAACTCGGTTGAGAGTCTCCGCACAGTCCAGGCAGGGAGGGTGGTGGCCTGGCCACAGGAGCAGTGGCCAGAGTGGCTAGGTTCTGGTCTGTTTTGAAATAGAGCCGAGGAGATTGGCGAAGGATCAGACGGACCTGGCCGTGAAGGAGGGCGGGGAGCAGCGGACAGCGCTGGGCCGGGAGGCCGGGAGGCCGGGAGGCCAGGAGGGGAGGGTTCAGGGGAAGTGCAGGGGTCCGCCGAGGGGACCTCCGGGGGCCGTGGGAGAATCAAGACCCAAAGAGAGGTCTCAGCGTGTGACAGTGATGCCACAGATCTCCACGGCAAGCCCTGGAAGGGGAGCAGAGGACACTGGTGCCCTGGGCAGGGGACAGAGTGGGTCACGGGCAGCTGCTGGGGCCGTTCCTGTCTGCATCTGCCCAGGTGCTTGCCCCGTGAGCCAGTCCGCGGAGGAGGGCACCATCCTGGGGTTGGAGGGCGTGGGCACCGTCCCAGTCCTGCGCAGGGGTTTCCTGCCAAAGAGAACACCCAGAAGCCTCTGCTGCTGTGGCCATCTGCTCCCGGGTGGGGACACCGTGTGCCCCGCCCGATCCTGGTGCCCTGGCGCCCTGTTGCCCCAGGCCTCCCCCGCGGGCTCCGATGGCGTCTCTTGCTGAGACTGGATCTCGCCCACCTGCCAGCGTCTCTCTTCTTGGTCGCAGACTCTCCCTCCCGGGTCCCGGGTGATTTCTCTTTCCTGGGAGATGCGTCCACTTCGCGAAGGTCCTCGGATCCAGCTCAAGGTTGAGGGTCGTCCCCTGAGTTCCCTGGACTCCTGTTCTGCTCCTCTTTGTGGCTTCCTCCTCGACCTGGGACACGGGTGCAGCAAAACCAGTGAGAAGCGCCCTTCCACGGAGACCTTGGCCGTCCGCGCCCCTGCCCTGTGGGGGGAGCTGGGTGGCCGCCTGGGAGCGGCGGGCACTGGGCTGGGTCCAGGCTGGTCTAGGGCTCGGGGTTCTCCAGGGAGCAGCTGCGGGAGGTGTCCACCAGGAGATTCTGTGGGGAATGGCTCGCAGCGTCACGGGGCCAAGAGCCCCAGCCCGGCCAGCTGCGAGCAGAGGACAGAGGGGCCGACGGCCTGGGACCCGGGGCTGAGGTGTGTCCCCGCCCAAGCCTGCGGGCAGAAGACCCGTGTCCAGCTCCAGCATGGCCTGGGGACAAGAGCAGACTCTCCGCCCGGGTTTTCTGACCAGGCCTCCCCCGAGGAGGCCCGTCCACAGGGGAGGCCCCGGCGGTCCTCAGACTGCCTCACCTAGAGACCCCCTCACCGACACACCCAGAAGGACGTTCAGTCCCACACGTGGCGCCCAGCGGCCCATCGAGAGTCACACAAAGTGGACCACGCAGCTGGAGTGGAGGGATCAGAGGCAGGCAGCAGGGCCGCGAGGGCAGCGGGAGGGAGGCCGTTCGCTCCCTCTGGGGGTTTGCTGGTGGATCATTAGATGGGGTGTGGGAGGGGCCAGAGGGGACCCCAGGACCACAAGGTGAGCAGATGGCAGGTGGCGTTGTGCCATCGAGGTCGGGACATCTGTGGGGAGGGCTCGTCCAGGGAGGAAGACGGGAACTCTGGTTTTTGGAATGCCGAGTTTGAGAGGTCTCTTCGAGACGGAGTGTGGGTGGAGTTGGAGGCCGGACAGCGTCAGCAGATGGCACTCACGGCCGTGGGAGGAGGTGCCATCTCAGGATGAGTAGAGATGACCGGGGAAGAGGCTGCTGGGAGGTGGGGCAGGGACAGCAGAGGGACTGGCAGACCAGGCAGGGAGTAGGGGAGGGGCCCGGAGAGAGGCTGAGCCTCCAGGACACGAGAAGAACCACTGGAGTCAATGGTCTGAGAGGACGGGTACAGTGGACCGAGACCTGACCACCAGCTTTAGCAGCATGGAGGTTGTTGGTGACCTTGACAAGGGCAAATTCTGTGGAGTAGTTGGAGCCTTTTGAAGAGGTTACTGTAGAGTGGGAAGTGGAGCGGGAAAGCGAAGGTACAGATGGTCCTTCTGACATGTGTCTCCCCTCCTAGCCTTCTGCTTTGTGCATCACTGGATTTACCAAGAGTTAACATGATTCATTGTTGCCAAAGAACCAGCAGCTGGATTTATTAGTTCCCTTTTTTTCTTTTCTATTTTTAACTCCATTTCAGTTTTAATTTATTTATTGCTTTCTTATATCTATATTGGGTTTATTTTGTCTTCCTTCTCTGGCTTTTTGAAATGGATGATTAATTCATGCATTCTTGTGTATTAATAAAAATCATTAATTTTTAAGGCTATGAATTTTCCTCTGAGCATTGCTTTGGCTGCATCACTAGGTTCTGAAATTTTTTTTTTATTCCTAAAAATGGTTTTTTAATTTTTGTTTTGAAAAGTTTAGCTATTATTGTCTAAATATTTTGCAATTTTTATTAATTTATTTATTTTGCTCCCTTTGACTCGACAGTTATTTTAAAGAGTTTACATACTTCTTGGTGCTACAGTTTGTTTTCTGAGCTTGTGGTTAGTATTCTCAAATTCTATTATACTGTAATAGAGAATTCTGTTTCTACTTTTGAAAATTTAGGTCTGATAGTCCCTTTTTGTGTGTGCATTTTCAAAAGCATTTTTATAAATATCACATTGTCTTCTACTCACACCCACCCCCAGACACACACACACACACACACACACACACACACACACAGAGTCATTGGCTTCCCATATTCTTACTGGTTTCTGCCCCTTCATCTGTAGTGGGCTGAGGAGGTGAGTGAAGACACAAGGCTGCAGCCCACTCTGCCCTTTCTTCCTCCATCCCCAGCGGTCCTTGCTGTGACTCCTGAAGCTCCGTCACTGCGGTCAGTTCTTCCTGACGACCTTCATCCTGGATCCGCTCACAGAGCCTTGGTTCCTCTCTCTGCTCTTTCTTGCCTACCTTCAGCTTCCCTCATCCTAAAGCCAGAGCCCCTGGTTTCCCTGGGCTGCATCCGTTTGTCATGTTTCTGCCCGTCCTCCCTTTTAAAGTGGGACACGATTCACGTGACACAAGTCTTAGCGTTCAGCCATTTTTAACCGCACGGTTCCGTGGCCCTGAGTCCCGACCTCTCTGAGTCGCTCTGTCCCGGGCACCTTGTGTGATCCAGTCTGAGGGTCCTCTCTTTAGCCAGTGTGTGTGGCTCGTTGACGTCCACTGGCGGGGCGGACGCGCTGGGTCTTCCTTCTCTCATCGTAGTTCATGAAATGCTTCCTGCTTTGATAACTTCTGTGGGTGCCGATTTCCCCACATGTCCTGTTTCCTTTGTTTTACTTTTTGTATTTATGCCTTCTGATAATTTGGAAGGCTGTGTTTTCGAGTCCGTGGCTATCTTCGTAATCACAACGTGACACCATAGACTTAAAATCCGGTTTTTCTTATGCAGGACTTATTTCTCCCTATTAGGGAGAAGGTCGGAATCCAGAATTCTCTGCTTCCCTCCCATTTGCTCCCAGCATTTTATTTTAGTTGATTACACTTTCTATTTACCTTGATGCCTCTGACGTCACCTCAGTTTCTGAGTAATCAGACTATGAATGAATGAGTCGCAGTTGTCCGTATCGCCCCCCATCTCACCTCCGTCCGTCCCACGTGTCACATCAGTTCTTTGCTTTCTTTTTCGTCTCTTCTGTAATAACCCCCATCCCTGGATTTCTTTCAGACGTGGCCCTCGAGTTAAAGAGACTCTGTGCTCATTGCCAGGGGCTCTTCTCAAGAGTGACCCCATTGCCCCTCGGTTTGCCTAAGTGTCCTCTGTAGGGTATTTAAGAAGGGCTCGTGGGAATTATAATCTTAAATATATTCAACAGGTTTTTTGTTGATTTCATGATCACAAGATGGTTTATCGGGGCTTTAAATTCTTGGCACATTCACTCATTCAACAAATATGGATTAAGTCCCTACTGTGTGCCAGCTAGCCCCTGGTGATATGGCGATAAGCAAAGCCTGCAATCACCGTGGTCCTCTGTAGCCCAGCGGACTTCCACTACAGGGCGTGGGCTGCTGCGTGACCACCTCATCTGCCAAGGAGAGACTGGCGACCGTGGCTGCTCCTCCATGGGCAGAGGCGGGATCGTGGCTCCTCCACAGGTGGGTGGTCGTCTGCTTCTCGTTGTGTTGCCCACAACGACTCTCCCTGTCAAAGCTGAACGTGTCCCTGCAGGCGGTCTCCACACTCCTGCCCCTGCCCGCTGGTCTCCAGCCATCCAGGCATTTTGGGGGCACCTGCGTGTCCTCCCCATGACTGTGTATGATGTGGGCATGTTCAGTGGAGTGACTCTGAGATACATAATGGGTTTTGTCATCTTGCAGATGGCATCTGTGTGTGTTTCTAATATTTTCAGTTTGTGGTGGCACGGGGGACCGGGAAATTGGTCATCCAACCAGAGCAGTTTTGAGGGCCACGGAGGAACGATATTAAAAATTTTGTCAGCACAACCTGTTTTTTTAACTGAGACTGTGCCCAGACAAGACGGCCCACGGTGACCTGGTGACTGCCGAGGCGGATGACGCGGTTGAGTCTTATGTCGACCTGGTGTCTCTCAGATGGGACTCACCCCTTTATATCTGCTCCGTCGTTCTGATAGACGTCCTGTTAGTCTGTTGGATTTTCTAGGTGCTTGTCGTCAGTTCACTACGATCCTGGTTCTGTTCCAATCCTATATCTGCATTTTTCTTCTCTTATTGCATGGGCTAGGGCACAAGTGCTGTCCAGAGCCACAGGGACAGCACGTGTTTTTGTCTTGCTCCCAGAATTATAGTCACATGATTCACCAAGTCCACAGGACACAACCTGGCCTTTTCTGTCCCTGAGACCCCAGACAAATGACCCCAGCAAGTTCCCATGGAAGAGACACTAGGTGATATTTTGTTTCCTTCTGTTTCCTCAGAA